AAATGGTATCCCCAGAACCTGCTGTTTAAACGGTCTTGTAATGGTCATGTGTATGAGTATGATTACTTACTGGAGGGCAACTGTTTTTTTCAGTCCATCTCAAGTAAGATCTAGCCAAGCTTGCAGTAATAACTGGAAATGGCCATCAGGATCACCACAGAAGTGGGTTCTCTGCTGTTCAGCTCTTTCTGCTGCTGAGAAGGTACACATCTTATTTTCCTTATCAAATCCATGATTTTTGTTCTATATGAATTTTAATTGAGACAAAATGATCGAATTGCTCAGGGTGCCGTAACAGAATTTGCAAAATTAGCTGGTGTGCCTATTTCCAAGAGCTGGAGCCCCAGCGTTACCCATGTCATTGCATCAACTGACCCCTCTGGCGCTTGCAAGCGCACACTGAAGTTTCTAATGGCAATCTTGAACGGCAAATGGATTGTCTCCATCAACTGTAAGTGGATAGCGGTCTAACTGTTCCATCTGAGCAGAGCTGATATTGATCAATTGATGCCCTTTGTTGCTAAATGCTGGCTTTATACTGCTGTAGGGGTTAAGGCTTGCATGGATGGCATGGAACCTGCTGACGAGCAGAAATTCGAAGTCACCACGGATGTTCATGGGGTCCGTGAGGGTCCCAAGTTAGGAAGACAGAGAGTGATCAACAAGGTACTGTTTATTTCACACTGCTATACACCCTACTGTTATTGTACTTCTACATCAGTCAGTTAACTATCCATTTGTTCTGCAGCAACCCAGGCTGTTCAACGGCATGCAGTTCTACCTCCATGGAGACTACACCATGACCTACAGAGGCTTCCTGCAGGACCTGGTGGTCGCGGCAGGTGGCACCGTTCTGCACCGGAAGCCCGTCTCAAGGGACCACCAGAAGCTGCTTGATGACAGTTCCCCCGTCATAGTCGTGTACAGCCTCGAGAACCAGGGGAAGGCGAACCTTGACGGCAATGACTATTATCGGCACAGGCAGGCTGATGATGCCCAGGCTCTGGCCTTTGCCTCTGGTGGTGTAGCCGCTAGCAGTGCCTGGATAATCGACTCCGTTGCGGCTTGCAAGCTGCAACCTCTGTGACTGAGGTCAAAGAAGGCTTCTCATGTCAGTGGGCTTAGTAGTAAAGAGGAAAAATCCAGGGTGGCACTGAATACAAGTGCATGCTTTATATCGTGTCATGTAGAAATTATAAGACAACATTGTGTTTTTGTTGTTTTTTCTTTCAAAAAGAGGTTGAACCCCCTGTGTTGATGAAGAGTTAACTTCATCGTTCCAATGTAAAGATATTTCACGCTCTACCAGTGCCGGCATTCCATATAAAGAGATTTGCCCTTTTCCTATTCTTTTTTGCCATATGAAGAGATTTGCCCTTTTCCTATCTTTGTTGAAAATGTGCTACCTATTACTTGGAGCCAGATTAATCGCCACAGGATGATTATTAACGCATAATACATCATTCGATGCTTCATTCCTGATGTGTTTAGGATGGTGTCAGTTGCATTGAGATGCATGCAATTGGGGTACGTCTTGGAAAGGGTCTCATGAGGGAAGATGTTCATGATTCAGTTGATATTCAGAGAAGAGCAAGTGGTATCGATTGCGGAATCTTGGATGTCCATCCCACTGACACGCCCCCTCACACTTCCATCGGCCGCCATCTTGAGAAAAGTGAGCTTTTAATAGGCATCTCGTTTGAAATAATTCTGTGAAGAAACGCACACGAATTGTTTACTTGTAGGGCTGTAAAGAGGGACGTACGTGGCAGCAACACAGCCTTTGAGAATGTGGTTCAGATTGAAAACATACTCTTTTCCTTATTATGTATATATCCTGACGACATGACCATCTAGTCTGCTTTATCTGTGTTCCTCTGTGGAGTTGGTTGATGTAAATGTTGGTAATTTCGTTTGGCTTGTTACCTGATCATCTACAAGGGGAGAGTTGAGAGGTTTTGTTTCTACTTTTCGATCTACTCAACTGCTGTGTGGTATGGCTTTCGTTTCAGTGAAATGGAGTTTCTTTTTTTTTTTTGAACCGGGCATTACCCCTTTCCATTACTGCAACATACCGGAAATACAGCAGTCCAAAGATAGGAGAAAAGGGGAAGCGAGTCCAAAGCATCGCCGGGAAACCCACTGTGAGCACTCGCCATCGAGATTACTCACCGTGGGGCGAAAACCCGACGACACCAAATCTCAGTAGCTAGAATCCAGGGCCTACAGCCCTAAAAGAACACACGACATAGGCTCGCAACAACTGAGCAACACAAGTTCAGGCCTGCGCTGGGGGAAAGCAACTCAAACATCTAGCTAAACCACGTGGTAGCATCTTCAGCAGATCAGCAGGCCGATTATTCGTGGTTCGCCGCACAGATTCTCATCATCATCGACGCGTTCTCCTTCAGCATCTTCGCCCCGTCCCTCATGGTAGTCGCGTCATCTTGCTTCAGCATTCCTGCCCAGTAGCACATTAGAGCACAAGCAGAAAAGATACATTCAAAAGGATTTGTAAGCGGTTTGAACTCAAAGGTAGCTCTATTGCGACAAGACCAGATCGCCCAACACACAGCAGCAATCCCCGTTGTATAAAACTTTTCCCCGCCAGGGAAGAACGTAAAGCACCACACATAGACTTGCCAAATGTTATCAGGGCACAGAGCAGTGCCAAACATGCATGCCACTGTCCTCCAGGTCACCCTGGCAACAGGGCAAGCGAAGAACGTGAAATGGAGTTGGGGGGCGAGCCCCTGTTGATCGAAGAATAAGATGATCATGCACTTCAAAACACACAAGATGCATATTTTGCCAATCTGCTGACCATGGATGACGGATTCGAGATTCATGGACTTGTCAGCACTTCAGAGAACATATACTTCTGCTGTCACACAACATCACATCATTGAGCAGGATCAACTGAATCACGAAGATCGAGCTAAAGTATACCCAATACTGAATCAGGATGATCTCGACAAGTAGCAATGGACAATGTAACCCATAGGAGGTTAATAATATGATGCAGGCTTCGGGCCTAGATTTTTCCTTCATTGGATATCGACCTTTTCTTGGATTATAAAAGAGGACACTGGCCCACATTAATATCATACGGAACATCTTCAGTGATACGCACTAGAGTCTGGAGTGATGCTTAGGCAAACTCCAGTCGTACCCTGAATATGAAGCTAAACGATTGCATAACAGTCTCCAAGCTTTCACACGCAAATACCCTTTCAGATTTGTTCGAACCTAAGGTAGTACTAGTAGACAGATGGATGCTTCAATCAATATGTAGATATAAGAACACAAGAGCGGTGACATTCTAGCAACATGACAATTCTATCTGTTGGTTCAGCAATCCGCACATGATCCGAGCCAAGAATGTGTTTTTTCAGTTGCAACAACAGGCAGCAGGTTATGTACATTTCTGATGAGTGCCGGTTTACGGAACATCTTCAGTGAT